TTTTATGTTCTCCTACAGCTGCTTTATGAATTGTCTTTGGATCCCCTCACATTAATTTGGATTTCAGGTGTGTAGTCTCAATTAATATCTTTTTTTGCCGTATATAATATCCATTGTATTAATTTGGATGTGATTCATATATTTACATGTGAATTACATGTGATTCACATGTAAATCACATGCGATTCACATGTAAATCATATGTGATTCACATGTAAATCACATGTGATTCACAGGTAAATCATATGCGATTCACATGTAAATCTTATGTGATTCACATATTAATCACATGTAAATCTTATGTGATTCACATATTAATCACATGTAAATCATGTATGAATAATATGTGATTCACATGTAAATCACAAGTGAATTACATATGAATTACGTATATATATGCACACATTCATATGTTAATCACATGAAAATCACATTTGATTCACATTTAATCACATTTGATTCACATGTAAATCACATTTGATTCACATGTAAATCACATTTGATTCACATGTGATTTACATATGATGGCATATGTAAATGTGATTCATATGTGAATCGTATGTGATTCATATGTGAATCGCATGTGATTCATATGTTAATCGCATGAAAATCACATATGTATTTTTGTGAGTGTTTTTGCATTAATCAATTTTTTTTAATTTTCTTGTAGATTTGGAAGAAACTGTGGTGAATATTGAAGAGATGAAAAATGATAAATTGAAGAAAATAAGGAAATATTGACACGAAGACATGAAAATGTTTTGAAATTTGTAGCATTTTTTATATTTTATATTTTATTTTGTATCGAATAAAATACTTGTACTATTATGTTTATAGATTAATTAATAAAAAAGAGATTTTTTATGATTTTACTTACGAATATTATAGTATTTTTATTGATTTTTAAAAATTTACTTTTCAAAACAAATGCAGTTTTTTTTTTTGAAAAAATTACAGTTTTTAAAAAAAATTGCAGTTTTTTTTTGAAAAAAAATACAGTTTTCTTTAAAAAAAATTGCAATTTTTTTTTTGAAAAAATTGCATTTTTGTATTTAAAAATGCAGTTTTTTTTTTGAAAAAAAATATAGTTTTCTTTAAAAAATTTGCAGTTTTTTTTTTGAAAAAATTACAGTTTTTTTTTAAATTGTAGTTTTTTTTTTAAAATTGCAGTTTTAAAATAAAATATTTTCCTCATTTTTTTTAAAATTCATGTTTTCTGAAAAAATTATAAAATCTCCATTTTTAATCTAAAATTATTTTTAAAAAGAATCCGAAATTTGATTTATTATGTTAATTTTTAGAATTTTTTATTAATATTTTCAATAGGAAAAAAAAATTAAACATTAAATGAGATCGGTAAGATAACGATCATGTCCTTTATGAGTTAATTTCGATCTAACGTTCCACCTTTAGTTTTCAGGTTCTCGGAAAACTATGAGTTTTCAACGGATCTCACACTCTCTCGCTCTCTCTCTCTCTCTCTCTCTGTATATATATATATATATATATATATATATATATATATATATATATATATATATATATAGAGAGAGAGAGAGAGAGCTAGGTTCAAATGTTTCTAGCAAATAGTATATGCCTAAATGCACCAATGAGAATTCAATAATAATAAATCATTAAATAAATTAAAAAATGGTATAATGGTAAACTTCCTATATCTAATTATGGTAAAAAATAATTCAATTAATCTCTCCTTAATTAGTTTAACCCTACAAAGCCAACATCCCTAACCTTAAAGAGTACGGCGGCTTCCTCAAATCATCGATACCTCTATTCAACTACTAGATCCTCTATTCAACTACTCTTCTTCCACAGCTTCATGTTCGTCGGCCTATTGCGATCAGAAAGAGGCTAGAAGTGAGGGTTCGGTGTGTAACGCCCCAATTCCAGGTATGGATTTAAATAAAAGGTTAATTGTCCTACTCGACGAGTTGGTTGCCCTACTCGTCGAGTAGCAGCGGGGTTGGAACGTGTGTTTAGTGACCTACTCGACGAGTCCACTAAGGGACTCGACGAGTAGGAGCTGGCAGAAGAAACCCTAAATCTTGGGGTTTTGCACCCTATTTAAGGAATGATAAGCCTCCTATGGCCTCCTTGCAGTCTTTGAGAGCCCCTTAAAACCCTAATACGTGTGTGTGCCCATTGTGTGTTTGAAGCTTGAAGAAAGGATCCTTGGAGGGAGAAGGCTTAGAGGAGAAGGAGATTGGAGCAAGTAGAGTGTGGGAATCAACTCTTATCTCAGTTATCATCTTCTGGAGGTAACCAAATTGCCTTTTCTTTGTGAATCTCTTCTATTGGTTGAGTTTTAGGGTTTTTTGTGAGATATTAAGTTGGAAAGATGAGCTATGGGCTAGATTTGAGGTTGTAACTTCAGATCTGGACCCTCCTTGGATTCTATAAGCATAAAGTTTCAGTTTTGGTCAGGATTAAGGTCCCTCTTGAGCATGAAGTTTCATTAAGAACTTAAAATAGGCATTTAGAGCCTTTATAGCCATGCATGCACGTAAAGTTTGCAACTTTACGTGATAAGCATGCCCTAGAAGCTTGGATCTGTGATTTGGAGCCGCTGCATGGCTCAAAACAAGTCTGTATGGAAAAGGGACTGAATGGACTTGGCGAGTCGCAAGGGTTGACTCGGCGAGTCGCAAGGGTTGACTCGGCGAGTCAGATGACCGTGGACTCGACAAGTTGGATGAACAACTCGGCGAGTCCGATGAAGATTACCATAAGACTCGGCGAGTTGAAGAACAACTCGGCGAGTCGGATGAGTTTTCCCTAGGATATGTATGCTTATGTATCCGTCGAGTTGCAAGGAGGGAACTCGACGGGTGGCCTTAAAGTTTGAACGAGAATCGAAGCAACTCGACGAGTCACCCCGATGACTCAGCGAGTTGGTTTGTGCTTCAAGGAACTCGGCGAGTAGCCGAGGGTACTCGGCGAGTTGGGGTCAACATGGACTGTTGACCTTGACTGAGGACTTTGACTTTGACCAGGGGTTAACTAGTGGGTTATGGAGTACCTTATATGGTTAAGGACTTATGAGTATATTGTGCTTTGGTGTTAGGTGGTGGAGCCTGTGCCAAGTGATTCGAGGGTTGGGCTTTATCTTCCGAGTCGACATTTGCGAGGTGAGTTATCCTCACCATACTAAGGGGTCTAAGGCACCAAGGCCGGCCCATTTGATATGTTATCCTAGCAGTGTTAGATGTTGAGTATGAGTTAGTGTTGCACGCTAGTGGTTATGCCAGTTAGGTAGACCTGTAGGACTACCTGTGATGTTATATGATTATTGCATGCTCAGTGGTTATGTTGTATGTTATATGTTATGTGGGATGGGTTGAGGTTGTACTACTCCGTGCGGTAGCCAACAAACCCTAGGAGCATTCCAGTTACGAGCTAAGGGAGACTCGTACTGTGGGCTCGATGGCAAGCCAGATGTGAGCTGTGGGCCCGTAAGGCAATCCAGACTCAAACTGTGGGCCCATGGGTAATCCAGTCTGTAAGGCTGTGGACCCATTACATGCTGTTCAGTTTGTTATGATATGGTTATGTGGACTGTATGTGTATCGGTATTTTGGGGGTAACTCACTAAGTTATCGGGCTTACAGTTTCAGTTTATTGTTTCAGGTACATCAGGGGATCGCGGCAAGGTGAAGGCATGATCGTACAGCTCCTCATATTATGTTTATGTTTCTGGGAATACTCTGATAAATAATATTTTGAAAACAAAGTTGTAATGTTTTGATGAACTTGACATGTTTTAAAAGTTTAAATTGGTTTGAAATTTTTGGGTGTTCCAAGTTGGTATCAGAGCCTTGGTTTGAGTGAATTGGAAGAACATGCGTGTAACTCCAGTCTCAAATCAAGGAAAGGATTTTCAAAACGATTTTTCAAAAAGGTTTTCAAAATAAGTAAAGGAGGATACAGGGTGTACGATCAGCCGAAGCCAGTAAGTAGACCCCAAAATACCATACAAGTTATTTGATATTATGTCATATGTTAGAACAGCATGCTAGTAATAAGATAGGGATCCTCAGGACTCGTATGATAGAATTGCCTGATCTTTGATGCCTTATCTTATGTAGAGTACCTCAATTGATTGTTTGTGACTCTTTCGCGTGTGAACTAACTATTGGGTGAATACTCTAATTCACATGCTACATGGGTTAAATGGACTTAGGGTAAGGGATTTGGTCCTGCTGCGCAGCTCTTGTCTGAGTCCAACCGTTGTGGGGTTAAATCTTTTAGTCTAAGATTGTTTAAGTCGTGTGGTATGTGATTGTATTCATGCAATAGTTAACTGGCACCAATGAAGGGTCGTGTGGCAGTTGGTAGATGGGTGGGTAGTGAGAGGTCAGGAGGCCAGTTATGAGATATTTAACATTTCTCTAGGAGTGAGAATTGAGCGCTCGCCATGTTGTATAGGGCATTGTGATGATGCTTGAGACAAATATGGGTAGGTGTGGAAGGTAGTATGGGCCCGTACTACTGAAAGCATAGGACCCATACGCGTGTCAAGTAAGTCACAATCCCTAGGGTTAGTAGGGAGTTGGTTCCCAGTGATTTATATGGGGTTATCTGATATCTTGTGGTATGTTTCAGAATGGTGATGACGAGGCGCTATGTGGCTGGATCCGGTTCGGGATCAGGATCAGGGGACAGAGGCCAGGAGGGGCCGACAGCACCCGAGCCGGTGGTGCAGATGGGTACAGAGGAGTTGGATGCCAGGATTCGAGGGATCCTGCATGATGAGGTTGCTGCTGCATTCCGGGCTCAGTTACCAGAGATGTTCGGGTCGATTAAGACCGCCATGGTGGAAATATTTTGATGAGCGCTATGCAGCCCTTGCAGAGACAGCCGCCGCAGCAGCTGCATCAGCTGTATCAGCGGCAGGAGGAGGAGTTGGTAGAGGTTTTCAGTACAGGGACTTCGATAACACGAAGCCCCCTACTTTTGATGGGACGTAGGATCCCATCAAGGCTATGAGATGGATTTCAGACGTGGAGGGGTGTTTCTTCACCTGCTCGTGTCCTGCTGAACAGAAGGTCAGGTGTGCTCTGAACCTGCTTAGGTCTGGGGCCAAGGACTGGTGGAGACTTGCGACTGGGTCGTACACTGATGATCAGAGAGCTGCTGTTACTTGGGAGCAGTTCAGGGATATGTTCCGCGCCCGTTACATTCCACGGGTTGAGCGGGAGCGATTGGCACAGGAGTTTTTGAGCTTGAGACAGGATGGGGAGTCGGTGACGGAGATCACCCGAATGTTCGCTGAGAGGGCGATGTTTTGCCCGAAGTTTGCTTCAGAGCAGGCTCAGATGACCCGTTATCTGAGCATGCTCAAGACGGATATCCGTCAGTTTGTGTCTACCCAGCGATGTGATACTCTTCTAGAGTTGCAGGAGACCGCCAGACGGCGTGAGTTGGAGATTGAGCAGAAGTTGAGAGAACAGCGGCAGGCCCCGGCACATTCTCAGCCGGCGCCGAAGCGGTCAAAGACCGCTGATACTAGGACCGGGGGTCAGCAGAGCCGCACTTGTGGGAAGTGTGGCAATGGTCATTTTGGTGTTTGTCGAGCCAGCAGTGGGTGCCACGGGTGTGGCAAGGAGGGGCACTATGCGAAGGATTGTCGCCAGGCCGTTCCGATACCGAGTATGAAGTTATGTTAACATTGTGATCAGGTTGGCCATTTGAAGGCCAACTGCCCGTTACTCGCCGCCAAACCGGCGCAGGCTCCAGCGCCGACTACTTTGAGGATCACGGATGGGAGACCAGTCAGGGCAGAGCCTCCGAAGGCTCAGGGTCGTGCCTTCCAGCTTACAGCGGAGGAGGCCAGAGCAGCACCAGATGTGGTTGCCGGTATGTTTCTATCCTTTATCTCGTTTCCTATATTTGATGTATGCTTATCTGTTGTACCTGTGGTTAGGTACGTTTTTAGTGAACTCCTTGCCTGCTTTGGTCTTATTTGACTAGGGGGCGAGTCGGTCCTTCGTGTCTCAGTCGTTTAGTAGGGAGTTCAGTGTGCCTGTGGGCGAGCTAGAGTGTCCGTTGCGAGTGTCTATCGCCAACGAGCACGGGGTTTCTGCATCGTCAGTTTATAGAGGGTGTGACTTAGAGATTTTCGGGGTATCCTTTCCGATAGATTTGATTCCGATCCCCATGGGGGAGGTGTGCATGATTGTGGGCATGGATTGGCTCAGTCGGTTCGGTGCTATGATTGATTGCGAGGGCCAGCGAGTGGTAGTTCGAAGCCCAAGAGGGGGAGAACTGATTGTATATGGCGAGGGCACCAGAGTGGGCATGGATTGGCTCAGGGTTTTGTTCAGCTGCCAGGACTCGACAGTACATTCAGCACGGGTGTGCGGGTTATCTAGCGTATGTGGTAGATACGCGAGTCAGGGATCAGATTCCGGTTTCCGATGTACCGGTGGTCAGGGAGTTCGCAGATGTGTTTCCAGAGTAGTTGCCAGGGATACCTCCGGAGAGGCAGGTCGAGTTCAGGATCGACCTGGTGCCAGGTGCGGCCCCTATCGCTAAGGAGTCGTACCGATTGGCACCACCAGAGATGCAGGAACTGTCATCACAGTTACAGGAACTGTTGGGCAAGCAGTTCATTCGACCTAGCAGTTCTCCATGGGGAGCACCGATACTTTTTGTCCGGAAGAAGGACAGTTCGCACCGGATGTGTATTGATTACCGGGAGTTGAATAAGTTGACTGTGAAGAATCGTTACCCACTCCCGAGGATAGACGATCTCTTCGATCAGTTACAGGGCGCATCTTGGTTTTCCAAGATAGATTTGAGGTCTGGGTATCATCAGGTCAGGGTCAGAGAGGAGGACGTGGAGAAGACCGCGTTCCGAACTCGTTATGGACATTACGAGTTCGTGGTGATGCCGTTTGGGCTCACCAACGCGCCAGCGGTGTTCATGGACCTGATGAATCGGGTCTGCAGACCGATGCTTGATCGCTCGGTCATAGTGTTTATAGATGATATATTGGTGTATTCCAAGACCCGAGAGCAGCACGAGGAGCATCTGCGAGAGCTGTTGGGAGTTCTGAGACGAGAACGGCTGTACGCCAAGTTCTCGAAGTGTGAGTTTTGGCTACGAGAGGTCCAGTTCCGCGGACATCACGTTAACCAGGAGGGGATTTTGGTCGATCCGGCCAAAATCGAGGCGGTTATGCAGTGGGAGATTCCGAAATCTCCCTCAGATACTAGGAGCTTTCTGGGATTGGCAGGGTACTACCGGAGATTCATACGGAATTTCTCTAAGATTGCAGTACCCCTCACTCGTCTGATGAGGAAGGGGGTGGATTTCCGGTGGGGTCCCGAGCAGCAGAGGGCGTTTTAGACCCTCCGTCAGCGGTTGTGTGAGGCACCAGTATTGACGCTCCCGGAGGGAGTTGAGGATTTTGTGGTGTTCTGTGATGCATCCATCACAGTTTTAGGGGCGGTCCTCATGCAGAGAGGACGAGTGATAGTCTACGCATCGCGGAAGCTGAAGCCGCATGAGACGAGATACCCTACGCATGACTTGGAGCTGGGGGCGGTGGTGTTCGCCCTCAAGATATGGAGACATTACCTCTATGGGGTCCGTTGTACCATTTACACGGATCACAAGAGCTTGAGACATATCATGGACCAGCCGAACCTGAACATGAGGCAGCGCAGGTGGCTGGATGTAGTCAAGGACTACGATTGTGAGATCCTTTACCACCCCCGGAAAAGCGAACATGAGGCAGCGCAGGTCGCGGATGCTTTGAGCCGCAAGTCAGCTGGGTCTTCCACCCCCGCGGTATGTATGAGGATAACGGTGGATTCTCCGCTTGTGAGTTTGATCAGGGATGCCCAGGTAGAGGGCATGCGACCGGAGAATTGGAAGCTGGAGAGAATCAAGGGTGAGAATACCCGGTTCATACAGGATAGTCGGGAACTATTGACCCGATGCGGTCAGGTTTGGGTTCCGATGTCAGGTGGGGTTAGGCAGACGGTTATGGAGGAGGCTCATAAGTCTCATTTCTCTATTCACCCGGGGGCCACCAAGATGTATCGGGATTTGAGTTTGAGCTATTGGTGGCCGTGCATGAAGCGAGAGATCGCTTGGTACGTCGAGAGGTGCTTGACCTGTAGGATGGTCATGGCCGAGCATCAGAGGCCGCATGGAAAGCTGCAGCCCCTAGAGATTCCCATGTGGAAATGGGAACATATCACGATGGATTTTATTACCAAGTTTCCGAGGACGGCAAAGGGGTTTGATGCTATATGGGTCATCGTTGATCGATTGACCAAGAGCGCCCACTTCTTGGCTATACGGGAGAGCTCATCGGCCGAGAAATTGGCCGAATTGTACGTTTGCGAGATCGTGTCTCACCATGGGGTTCCTGTTTCCATTGTCTCTGATCGGGATGTCAGGTTTACCTCCCGCTTCTGGAAAAAGTTTCACGAGGAGCTGGGCACGCGGTTGCACTTCAGCACAGCATTCCACCCGCAGACAGACGGCCGGAGCGAACAGACTATTCAGACCCTCGAGGACATGTTAAGGGCGTGTGTCATTGATTTCGGTGGCAGTTGGGATTCTCACCTACCGCTTGTGGAGTTCGCCTACAACAACAACTATCATTCTAGCTTTGGCGCCCCGCCATTCGAGCTGTTGCACGGGCGGAGATGTCGCACCCCGGTCTGTTGGGGTGAAGTTGGACACAGAGTGATGGGTAGTACGGAGGTAGTCTTGCAGACTACCGAAAAGATCCAGCAGGTTAGACAGCGTTTGCAGACCGCTCAGAGTCGGCAGAAGAATTATGCCGACAGACGCCGATCTGAGTTGGAATTTCAGGTGGGTGACATGATACTCCTGAAGGTCTCGCCCTGGAAAGGCGTGATTCGCTTCAGGAAGAGGGGAAAATTGGGCCCCCAATATATTTGGCCGTTCAGGATCATTGCCAGGGTTGGCAAGGTGGCTTACAGGCTAGAGCTGCCAGAGGAGCTTAGTCGGATACACAACACTTTCCACGTTTCGCAGTTGCAAAAGTGCATCATGGACCAAGAGGTAGTATCGCTGGATGATATTCAGGTCGATGAGCGCCTGAACTATGTGCAGAGACCTGTGGCCATTTTGGAGAAGAAGATGAAGATTCTGAGGAATAAGGAGATATCTTTGGTGAAAGTATAGTGGGAGCATCGAAGGGGGTCCGAGTGGACGTGGGAGACGGAGGCCGAAATGCGGGAGCATTACCCAGAGTTATTCGCTGCAGCAGACTTCGAGGATGAAGTCTAGTTCAAGTGGGGGAGAATTGTAACGCCCCGATTCCAGGTATGGATTTAAATAAAAGGTTAATTGTCCTACTCGACGAGTTGGTTGCCCTACTTGTCCAGTAGCAGCGGGGTTGGAACGCGTGTTTAGTGACCTACTCGACGAGTCCACTAAGGGACTCGACGAGTAGAAGCTGGCAGAAGAAACCCTAAATCTCGGGGTTTTGCACCCTATTTAAGGAATGATAAGCCTCCTATGGCCTCCTTGCAGTCTTTGAGAGCCCCTTAAAACCCTAATACGTGTGTGTGTGTGTGTGCCCATTATGTGTTTGAAGCTTGAAGAAAGGATCCTTGGAGGGAGAAGGCTTAGAGGAGAAGGAGATTGGAGCAAGTAGAGTGTGGGAACCAACTCTTATCTCATTTATCATCTTCTGGAGGTAACCAAATCGCCTTTTCTTTGTGAATCTCTTCTGTTGGTTGAGTTTTAGGGTTTTTGGTGAGATATTAAGTTGGAAAGATGAGCTATGGGCTAGATCTGAGGTTGTAACTTCAGATCTGGACCCTCCTTGGATTCTATAAGCATAAAGTTTCAGTTTTGGTCAGGATTAAGGTCCCTCTTGAGCATGAAGTTTCATTAAGAACTTAAAATAGGCATTTAGAGCCTTTATAGCCATGCATGCACGTAAAGTTTGCAACTTTACGTGATAAGCATGCCCTAGAAGCTTGGATCTGTGATTTGGAGCCGCTGCATGGCTCAAAACAAGTCTGTACGGAAAAGGGACTGAATGGACTCGGCGAGTCGCAAGGGTTGACTCGGCGAGTCACATGAAGATGGCCGTGGACTCGACGAGTTGGATGAACAACTCGGCGAGTTCGATGAAGATTACCATAAGACTCGGTGAGTTGAAGAACAACTCGGCGAGTCGGATGAGTTTTCCCTAGGATATGTATGCGCATGTATCCGTCGAGTTGCAAGGAGGGAACTCGACGGGTGGCCTTAAAGTTTGAACGAGAATCGAAGCAACTCGACGAGTCACCCCGATGACTCTGGGAGTTGGTTTGTGCTTCAAGGAACTCGGCGAGTAACCGAGGGTACTCGACGAGTTGGGGTCAACATGGACTGTTGACCTTGACTGAGGATTTTGACTTTGACCAGGGGTTGACTAGTGGGTTATGGAGTACCTTATATGGTTAAGGACTTATGAGTATATTGTGCTTTGGTGTTAGGTGGTGGAGCCTGTGCCAAGTGATTCGAGGGTTGGGTTTTATCTTCCGAGTCGACATTTGCGAGGTGAGTTATCCTCACTATACTAAGGGGTCTAAGGCACCAAGGCCGACCCATTGGATATGTTATCCTAGCAGTTTTAGATGTTGAGTATGAGTTAGTGTTGCACGCTAGTGGTTATGCCAGTTAGGTAGACCTGTAGGACTACCTGTGATGTTATATTATTATTGCATGCTCAGTGGTTATGTTGTATGTTATATGTTATGTGGGACGGGTTGAGGTTGTACTACTCCGTGCGGTAGCCAACAAACCCGAGGAGTATTCCAGTTACGGGCTAAGGGAGACTCGTATTGTGGGCTCGGGAGCATTCCAGTTACGGGCTAAGGGAGACTCGTACTGTGGGCTCGATGGCAAGCCAGATGTGAGCTGTGGGCCCGTAAGGCAATCCAGACTCACACTGTGGGCCCAGGGGTAATCCAGTCTGTAAGGCTGTGGACCCATTACATGCTGTTCAGTTTGTTATGATATGGTTATGTTGACTGTAAGTGTATCGGTATTTTGGGGGTAACTCACTAAGCTTTCGGGCTTACAGTTTCAGTTTATTGTTTCAGGTACATCAGGGGATCGCGGTAAGGCGAAGGCATGATCGTACAGCTCCTCATATTATGTTTATGTTTCTGGGAATACTCTGATAAATAATATTTTGAAAACAAAGTTGTAATGTTTTGATGAACTTGACATGTTTTAAAAGTTTAAATTGGTTTGAAATTTTTGGGTGTTACACGGTGGTGCTGGTGGATCGCTAGCATAGGCGATGGAGGGGGGCCGGCAGCGCAGGGCTGCTCTCCTCGGCTCCATTCTTCTTCTGGTCTGATCGTCTTGAAACACAAGGGTGGTTGCAAGGAGTTGTAAGGCGACAGTAAGTCGTATGAGGTGGTGGCAATCGGCAGGTGGGTGGAATCGGTGATGGAGGAAGCTGGGCAACAACGATTCAATCAATAGGTAAAGGCTCATTCTTCTCTTTTTGTTCTTGTTTGATTTGGTAGAACTACATAGGTGTTCGTTTGATTAACAATCGATGGATGTTTGTAGAAATGCCTCAAAATGAATTTGGCAGCTTTGTTGTAGAAATGGCCTGAAAGAAAATTTGATTTCTATGTTGCACGCCAGGTGTTTGTAGAAATGCCTCAAAGAGAATTTGATGTTCAAATTCTTGAAGAACACAAAAATAATTCTAACTTGGTTGTTTGTGTTACTTGGTTCTAACATGTGGTATGTTTATTTGTTAATTGCCTGAAAGAGTATTTCTTTTATTTTCTTCATTAAACCTTTTGTTATGTTTTTTTGTTGTTGTTATTAACTCCTTATTTGTTAATTACCTGAGTAGCATCAATCTTTGCTATTGGTATTTGATTTTTTTAATCAATTTAGGATGAAGATTTGATTAACGGTTTATAAGAGATTTTCACAAATTTGAGACAGTTTAGAACTTAAACATTGTATGAATGAGAAAACTCTTCTCAAAAGCATTTGTAATCACCTGATTAAATAAGCAATATGTGGAAAATATCAAAATCTAACCGTCTAATATTTGAAAAATATTAAACTTAATATGTTCCACAATTCACAATTTTATAATCTTGATTTAGTAGCAAATTTTATATATTCTGTCAGAATATATTCTATGTATTCTATCATATTCTATGTATTCTTCCAGAATATATAAAGTGCTAGGAATTGCAAGTAACATTCTAGTAATTCTGACAGAATGCATTTATACATTCTATGCTTTAGAATGTTTATATATAGAGAAATACGATTGCAAATGGCAAATCACATGCTTTTAATTCTTTATAGTGGCATGTAAAGTTATAACTAGCAGGTTTTATTCTATGTATTCTGCGAGATTGTATTCTATGTATTATGCAAGATTGTGTTCTGTATATTCTACCGGAATGAATTATATGTATTCTGTCAGAATGTATAAATTAATAAGAATTGCAAGCAACATGTTTTTAACCATTATTAGTTTTTGTTGCATTTGTGATAGGAATGGTCGGAAGAATGGCTTGAAGACCTGATAAGAATGACTTGAAGAATGAGCCAAAGATTGATGACACTCACAGTTTAAGAATGTTCTTATTTTTTAAGAATTACACTTGTATTTATTCATTAACGGTATATTCAAGAATGCTGATTTTTTATGATATTCTTTTAGAATATGTATAAATATATTAAAATGTATAAGGCTATTAGTATGTAAGAATATGTATGAATTTGTATTTAAGTTCGAATGTATATGAAAATATTAAAATGTTGTTATTCTTCAACTAGGAGTTCAAGAATTCTGTTATTTCTGAAAGAACATCATTCAAACAAAAATCCATTCTGACGGAATAAAATCGGTTATGTTTACAAATTATGTTTAGAATTAATTAGAATTAATTTAAAAAATTAAGATTTTTAAAATTAGGAGTGTTAATGATCCCTTAAAATCCGAAAATTACATTTTTTAAAATAGGTTAATTGACCAAAATACCCTTTTGCTGAAATTTGTGTGATTATATGGTACATGCTACTCTATTGTAATATCATAGACCCTCAGATTATGATCATTGATTCTATTCATCCGGTGGTCCAGATCTGTGCATTCTGGCACACAATAGTTAGTAAAAACAAAATAACCTAAGCCTATATATATATATATATATATATATATATATATATATATATATATATATATATATATATATATATATATATATATATATATATATATATATATATATCGCAAAACATATGAGTCGTTGTTTAATCTGTAAACCGCATGACTTCTAAGTCGTTGTTTAATCTTTAGTTGTGCAAATGGTCAAAATTGATGACTAGTCTTCAGGAAATGATATAAAAAGGAATAATAATGATGAAATAATCTTCAGTTATTTACCACTTACTGAAATAAACTTCAGCTATTTACCACTTATGTAAAATAACATATCACATATAGGTAGAAGTAGAATTTTACGCATCAAGTTTAATGGACTTCAAGGTGATTATATAATTTGAGAAGTTGCCATGATGCGAACCTAATGGTTGAGGTACTAATTATACATTTTAGGATTCAAATCCTCAGACTAACTATCCACATATGCGTAAGCTGCTCTAATGGAGAAAAAAAAAACCCCAAATGAAAAAAAACGTGTAAATTTGGTATATCTCCAAGGACTACTTTTGTAGTTTAAGACTTTAGCCTCCTTATAAGTCAACAACTCCCGTCTTCCAACCCATCTTCTCATACCATCATTTTGTCACACACTCACACCCACTTCCATCTCTAGCTCCGGCAAATATCATGAGGTAATTCACCTCAATGTTATGTTTCATAATCTGTTACCAATAATTATTTGTTTTGAAAGATCTGAATTTGTTGCGTTTTGATTAATGAAATGATTTTAGTATTCGGTCTGCTAGAAGGACGTTTACTTTCGAGATTGTTAGCTTCCATACTTGTTATGGTTATGAACAGAAGATTGCAAGTGCTGTTGGTAAGGATTTGGTAAAAATTGACCCCAAGGATGGGCATGTCACTGTCTCAACTCACAATGTTCCCGAAAGAGTTAGAATTGCACTTGAGGAGAAGACGAGAAGAAAAGTTGTCCTTTTGTATGAACTTATCCCTCAAAATACAAATCGATCTATAAGAAATCAGTCGCACCATGGTAATTGTTTCCTTTTGTATTTGGTTAAAATGGTTTTAATTTTTTACCGGCTGCTTGGGTCAACGCTAATCGTCTATTTGTAGTGACGACTTGAAATTGAATCCACCCTAATCCAATACTCTCATATGTGCTTAATGATTACAACTTTCTGAGTTTAGATCACGATTATCTTTTGAATAATTAAACGGAGCAAATACACAACTGCAGGTGATCGAAAAAGTTCTATTGCTTCTACATCAAATCATGTAGCACACAGTAAGAGCCAATCGATCAGGATGACAATCAGATATCAGAATGGAAGTATAAGGCATACGGCTGATACATCAGTAGGTATGTACATACATGCATGCATACATACATACATACATACATACATACATACATACATACCATAGAGTCTTTTGGTTTTATGTCAAACACTACTAATTAAACCAGTAGAATTTCCTTTAGGAGACAGATTAACCACGGATTCTGTACATTTGCAAAAAGAAGGCCTCCAATGAAAATTCCTTCGTTAGTTGTCTAACAAAATGTGTAAATGACGAGTTTTTTTGCGGATTTTTTTTTTGTTAATAATTGATATTTTTCTTTTAATAAATTTCGCAAAGTTGTTTTTCATCCGGTGCTATATTCAGGGAAAATTAGAAAAGTGAGCCCTCGCTAATTTTATATACAAAAACCCATTGCTAATGCTTCGTTTTCTAGTGGTTGTATATGCTAGGACTCAGGATATGATATAACAACCCAATCTTGTTAGTGAAACTTGAAACTCTAGCTATATGTATGTAGTAAAAAAATGCATGTTTACTAATACTTGTTGAAGATTTAAGTCGAATTGTGGTGGATCATTTTGAAGGTGAAGGGCACAACGTTTCCAGCTCAATAAGATATGGTAAAAGCTATCATCGGCATGAATTAACGTTAACAAAGGGTAGCTTATCATCATACAAGTGCAGTGGATGCAAAGAATTAGGAATCGGGAATAGATACATATGTAACAATTGTTCGTATATTCTTCATCCAGACTGCATGTACTACAAAAGAATACCTACACATAAGTTTTTAGTTGGATCAACCTTTAAATTCCATCAAACACGTTTTGATAGCAAGGATAGATATTGTGACGCATGTGGATCAGACATTGAAGGCTTTTTTTATCACTGTGATATAACCAGTAAAGATCTGCACCCTTGTTGTCTTAAGCTTACAGAAAGGGTTCATGTTGGTGAGACCAAGTTTATGCTTCGTAGGAAACTGACAACTGAATGCTTTTACTGCTCCTCAAGGAAGAAAGATCACAAAGACAATTGTTGGTGTTATTCATTAGAGAGCCAAGACATGCAGGTTCATGTGTCATGCATGAAAGATGCCCTTCAAAATTGTTTGAAAGGTGAAAGGAACAATAACATGAGCACCATGGTCGTTGTAAGACAAGGAAAACAAACAAGTGAAGGTTTGAAATGGGCGCAAAGGCTTCTGAAGGTTGCTGTTTGTGTGCTTTCTGGGAATCCATTCCCTCTCTTGGAGGTTGCCCTTGAACTATTTGAGTAGTATATATCCTCCTGATCAGTTTCGTACATTATTCTTCTGAAGTTCACTTTTTGAAGAGATGTGATTGCTTTTTAGTCCTTTGAGTGAAATCAATACATTTGTGTATTATATTTTAACTATTAATACAAAGTGTTAATACAAACAAGCTTAAATCCACGTTAGTCATGGTATCATTATAACGCATTTGCACAATATAAGCGCTACAAATACCATCATAACACAGTTGATAAACATCAAAACAATTGAAGACCTGCATAAGGACTTGTCAGTTCGTCCTCTCGAATACTTGAACCACTTACTTTGAGTTAATTAGTGGACTTTATTGTTCCAATACGAGTAAAATTGTAGTCAAATTCGTCACAACTTACTATCAAGCATCAAGGTCAACAAAGAGTGTAGATGTAAACTTTTTGATACAATATTTCTGAACAACATAGACTTTTTATATATATATATATATATATATATATATATATATATATATATATATATATATATATAATATATATATATATATATATATATATATATATATAGCAACATGGTACACAAAAATGCCAAGAAGACTACATTAAAACAAGTTAACAACACAAGCAATACATGAGATTAAATTAAATATTGGACAGAGAGATTTTGGACCTATATTTTAACGGCATCTAAAATGAGTTAAGTTTTTTAGAGTTCAATGAATTATCAAATCATCATTATACTCTCTATACAACTCTATCAAAATTTCCATACAATGCATTCAAAAGACCTCATACCTGGTGGGGAATCCGAAACCCTCACACCCGGTTTGACCGGGGAATCCCAAAGTTGATCAAGGATAGGGTATTTTTTTTCTCGGTTAATCTATTGTTTGCTCAAATATTACTCTGATAAATTTTTTCTATTTGATTTTCCATGTATGTATTTAAATTTGGAAAAAAAAATTATTTATAGTTTTTATGCAATCTGTGAATATTTTTATGTTTTGTAAAATCCTTAAACTAATGTTGGTAAAACTGAAATTTTGGTTTCATGGTCCTTTTGAGATAGTTTGTTTGTGGAATTAGTCATTGTTAAACTCGAAAAGATTAATATATCCTTTTAATTTGTTTTTCTATTTTCTTAGACATTTTTCTCTTTTATTTAAATTTTAAAAGTGAAAACAAATAAAGAGGGTCCATCTCTCTCTCTCTCTCTCTCTCTCTCTCTCTCTCTCTCTCGTAAGGAAGACTAGATTGTGCAACTGGATTGACTTATTCTTCTCTATCAAAACACATCTATAACATCTGTAACATTCATTCAGATCATGAAAAGATATGAATTTGAAACCCCCCCTTCATCCCTTTATTTACCATTGATTTGAAGGTTTGAATGATGCATAACCAAAAAACGATGGAGAATAAGAGATTTTCAGTTCTAAAGACGAAAAAACACCCCGCTTCATCATCTTCTTCCCTGTTCTTCACCTACAACTCAAATTCCACACATACTTGTAGAAAACGATTTGCTACTGATGATATCTAATTACACATTGAAAAGCTTCATTGTGTGTGTCTTGGGGTCGATGTTAGCTGTCATAGAACCTCGACTAGAAGTATTTTAAAGACGAATTAAGTGGCGGTGGTGGCTAGGGTTATTTTCAGTGAAACAATGATGCTTCTTGATACCTTAGGTTTTGAGCTGCTTGGGAGCTTGCTGGAGATGGCTTCAACTATGAAGGAAGAAGCTCAGAATTCATTACAAAAAGAGAGGTTGAATCTCAGAATCTTATCAATTTACATCTAAATCAAATGCTAGTTCATAAATCTCTGTGTGAATGGGAAAGAGGAAATCATAAACCGAATAGCAGAAATGATGAAGAAAAAACATGAAAGAGGAAATTTGAGAGATACGGACCTTTGCTAGAACTGGGTTACTATCTATTCGACCTTGATTTCTAGTTTGATTTCTTTTAGCTCGTCGGAGAAAATGAAGGAGATATGGATAATGTGCTTAAGAAGTGTATATGAATGTTGATTGATTTTGATTTTGATTAGCAGGTTCCATGGCATTAATTTCCTAAGGGTTGATTACTTGATTTGCAGGTTTCATGAAATCAAAACCCTGAAGGTCGATTTGCAGGTTTCACCATTTCAAAATGGGATGTCAAGGATGGAGTTTGGGAAGCGAAGAGAAGGGGGAAGACCGAAAAAAGGGTGGTTTCAGAGTAGGTTTTATTTATTTCTATGATCATTACTGATATTGATTTTCTATATGATGTTTGTAATTGTATATGAAACGATATGAAGTTTTTTAAGGTTTGTTCTTGGTTGTTTGGACAGTAAACAACTGGGGAGTTAATTGGAGAAGATGAAACGGAGTTCCTAGTAGGATTATTGGAGAGAGAGAGAGAGAGGTGGGGCCCCTTTTTATTTGTTTTTACTTTTAAAAATTAAAATAAAAGGGAAAATATTTAAGAAAAAAATAGAAAAACAAATTAAAATTATAGATTAGTCTTTTAAAGTTTAACAGAGACTAATTCCACAAACAAACTACCTCAAAATGACCATGAAACCAAAAAGATCGAGGTTTGGACCTTAGAAAAAATGCATACCACAGGGACCATTTTTGTAATTTTGTCTTTTTCTTTATGTTAAAATTTTCATATTAAAATAGAAAACGAAATCTTTGATTTGCCGTTCATGAGGATCCCAAATCCCCATTAGGGGTGGGAGTGGGGATTCTTTATATTATCCGATGGGTATGGGGATGGCGATTGGAATGAAGATTTAAGGTTGGGGTCCTCATTATTCCCTGGCCCATTGTCATCTCTAGTTATCAAGTTAACTTGTTAGATAGGAAAATTTCCTGTTAATTAAAGGTTTTAAAATATGTTTAGGACTCTTTGTAATTCTATTATATAAAACAATTTAAATTTTATGTTTTAATCATTCCATTACATCAATCATGTAACCTTCTCAATAAGAGTTCATTTCATAGTATGATTTCCATTATATATAGTGTTGTTTATGATTCTTCTTTACATTAATCTTTTTATAACAGAGATTAATTAGAGATGGATATTCCATCCTGGTCATTTAACATGTTCATTTAAGTGTCGTTTGATAGTTGTTAACTGTGTTAGAAGTTGATTGTGATAGAATTTTTGACTGAGTTAACTTGTGAAACAAACATGTTGTTTGAATCTTGAGGTCACTTAGCATCTTAAATCTTGATTATCTAACAATTGAATATTACTATTGAGCTTGTGTATATTGTTTAGTAATTAGAGGAGGCCGCCGAAACACATAGCCAAAATACAAGAACTTTTGGTGGTGAAATTAGTGTTCTAAATTGGCTACGAAGGGTGTTATTGGCAATTATGTTGAAATCACAAGCTTACTCCATTATTTAATTCCAATAGTATATCCTTAATTAATTATTATAATCACATTTAATTCTAACTTTATTGCAAATATAGATTTGAGTAAATTGTAAAATTGGTCCATGTGTTTTCGCAAAAACTATGGATAAGGTCCAACAAATTTATAATATGCATTGAAGGTTCAAAATCAAAAAATTTTCATAGTTTTTGTCGCTGGAACACTTGAAATTACCACTTTTTTCATTTTAATTCATTTTTTTATTTGTCATATTTATTTTAATATTTTATTAATTAAAAAAAAAGAAAAAAAAAGAAAAGAGAAGGTCCGCTCATTTACTCCTCTCCTTTTTGCTCAAAAAAAAAAAAAAAAAAAAAAACACTAGGTACCATTCTTTTTCTCTTGACCCTTTCTCCCTCACCTTCCTTTAGTCTTTGTGATGAGGCCAACTTGTTGCCTCCATCCTTTTCCCCCACCGACGACACATTTCCAACAATCTTATTCTTCTTTTGCTGGTAAAACACACACGTTGGAAACCCACTCTGCCGTTTCAAGTCCCAATCTAAATCCAAGATCACAATTTCACAACTGTACACTCTTATTCCCGGATGTCCATCCTCTGAAAATCTTCACTTTCATTTGATGATTATGGTGGAGAAAGAGGAGGAAGAAGAAACAGATCGACAATGAAGATGGAGGAGGGAAGAGGGAAGAGATGCAATCGCCGATGAAGATGGAGGACAGAGAAGATGAATTCGACGCCTGCGTTACCAGTGCATCAGCTCATCATCGATCACTATTCGGGGGAGATTTGGTGTTGTTGGTGGTTGTGTTTAGTTTGACTTTTTCACCATCAAAGTAGACGAAATCAATGAGCTTGTTGCTTGAATTCGTTGGTATTGGAGCTTGACATTGTAATAATGGCGAAAATATCGAGCTCTTGGATGAAATCCAAGGTTTTTAGTCTCAACTACTATAGCCGATATTTGATATCAATTTAAAGAAGAGAAATAAAATTCAATTTTTATTTTTTCAATGTATAAGAACGAATGGACAATATCTGTAAAGCTTCGCAAATCGTCAATGATAGATGAACCATATCTGGATATCTAGAAAGAACCCAAATCAATAAAAACCCAGATCTATAAATATGCGTGTGTGTTTATGTGTTTGAAGAAAAACCCTAAAGTGAGGGTGTGTCTGGAATTTGGTTTGACTTTCATAGTTCTTACTGATTAGAGACATCAATTGGGTTAAATGTCTAGTGTGTGAGAGAGAGAAGTAGATGTGGATGGAGAGAGAGAAGAGGGAGGGTACGATTAGGGAGGGTGGGGTGGACCTTTTCTTTATTTTATAAAGACAAAATTGCAAAAATGGTCCCTATATGTCAAAAACTGACACTTTAGTCCAAAAAGTTTTAGAGTTGTAACACCCGTCCAAAAAATTAGTTTTATTTTAGATTTGTTCCAATTTTTTTAAAAAGCCTTAAAATGACTGATTTTCCCTTTGAATTGTATTTTCTTATTTTTTTATTACATCAATTAAAAATACAGAAAGAAAATATCAGCCCACCTTTCTCTCTCTCTCTCAATATATATATATATATATATATATATATATATATATATATATATATATATACACTAAATAGCTTTCATCTTCAAGAATCAACCCCCACAACCTCATTGCCAGCATCTCCCATTGTTTCCTCAGCCGTCGAACCTACTGACGGTCTCATAAGTGCATCTCCGATGAAACCCCCATCCTTTTCAATAACCCACAAGCTTCATCTTAGACAACATCATCACTCTTTCTATCTCTTGTCGACCCTAGCTGTAACATTCGAAAGTCATGATAAAAAATTTTAATTTTAAATCAAGAGAAATCATTATTTTCAAACAAAACCCAGATCAAGACCAAGTATCAAATACAAATATCCCAAGATCATTGTACCATAAGTCTCCAAAAACATGTCATCGAATGATGTATACGATCAGACCTTCGCATTGCCACGATCATTTGAAGTACCTGAAACAATAAACTGAAACTGTAAGCCAAGGCTTAGTGAGGTCCCCCAAAGTACCACCACACAAACATATAACAACATGCATACTGGGTCCACAACTAACATACTGGATTACCCCTAAGTCCACACATGAGTCTGGCTTGCCTTCCGGCCCACAACTTATGCCAGGCTAACTTCGAGCCCACATCATAATTCTCGCTTGCCTTTCGGGCCTACAACTTATGCAAGGCTTGTTCCCAGGTTTGTTGGCTTCCGCACAAAGCATCATTGCCTCAACCCAACCATACTATGTGGACATATACATAACAGATAACATATATCCAACAAACAAATAATTATATAACCAGTCAACAGACTAACAGGTAGACCTACAAATCACTATCGAATAACAACATCCTATATACTAGGACTCAGTTCTAACAGGTCAATACAATATAGCAACATCTGCTATACCAAGATACATAACCTAGTGGGCCGGTATTGGTGCCTTCGACCCATAAGTACAATGAGGAAAACTAACCTCTCAATCTGAAAAGATAGTTGAACACAACAAAACTCCGTATACTAACTCTACAGGTCACTTGTACAACAAACAGTGACCTTATCCCAATCTATTATTTAAAATACCCAAAATGCCCCTAGGTCAAACTTGGTCATAGGTGAAAGATGGAAAGTCAAAATAAAAGGAAAAGTTAAGCTGGCTGAGTACACCCCGCATACTTAACTCTTACGTTGGGCATTTTCAAAGATCAGGCGGCCATCGGAGCTTTAGCCCAGTACGCACAACGTACCATTTGGTACGACCGGTGTACTGCGCCTGACCCTATTTTCTCTTCAAACAAGCTTATTCCATTAAGAAATTCCACCCAAACACAGATCTAGACTCAAAAAATTTGTTTAAGTTATAAAGTTTCCACCTTTATGACTTTCCATGACTAGACAAGGCCCAAAAGCTTAAGCCCTAACTCCATAATCCATTTAGTCATTACAACTCTTGCATGGAAGAAAAAGACTGACCAAGATCACATTTTTATAAGTTTAAGCACTCTAAAACGTCCAAAAGGACTACTTATTTGGTCTAGAGTAATCCATACTCACTTGGACCAAGAATATGGGACTAAAAACATAAAACTTCATATATAGCAAGATCTAAGCAACTAGCTTATCAAGATTTAAACATTATACCTCTAAATGATACTTGAGGGTGAGGTGTTCCTGGATGTAAGTGGTATTGATCTTCCAAGGTGGTTCTTTAATCTTCTCCTTGCTTCAATGACGCAAAAACACACACTTTCAAGCTCAAAATGCACACATAAGAGATTAGGGTTTGCTATGGACGAAATGAGGGGTGGAGGCTGATGAGGGGAAGAGGTATTGGGAGTTAATGATTCTTAAATAGGGTCCAAACCCTAAAAATTAGGGTTTGGCCGTCATCCATGCACACCCAACGTACAAGGAGTATACCCAGCGTACTAGGAAGTCATATTTTTTTTCCACTTAAAGAACCATAGGACCAATTTGAAAATAAAATTCATAGTAAGGGTCAAAATTGAAAATTACCTGGATGAAAATGTTACAATTCTTCCCCACATAAATCAAACTTCATCCTCGAAGTATGCTGTCGTGAATAACTCAGGGTAGTGCTCTCTCGTCTCTGCCTCGGGTTCCCACATCCATGCAGAACCCTTCCGATGCTGCTAGGCCTTTTGAAAATACCTGATACCCGATTACCCGACCCGACCCGTTTTGAATTCGGGTAGATTGGGTCGGGTAATTCGGGTTTCGGGTTTGAAAATTCGGGTAATCGGGTAACCCATTATTAAAATAGGTCGGGTATTGGGTAGGTTTAAAAAAATTCGGGTATACCCGAATACCCGATTTAAAAAAAACTAATTAATACACTAGTTATAAAAACTATTAAAGTTGTTGTAACACCCCATTTATTAACTAGATAAATAAATGAATTAATGAACGAAGAGTAGCCCTAAAATAAATAATTATATATCAAAGGATGGTCTTGAGGGGCTAATTGTCATAACTTTAGAAGTTGAGGGTTGAAGGGTAAATTCTGGACCTTAATTGAAAAGAATTTGTCAAGCAAGGGGCGGTTTTGTAAATTCTGGATTAGTTTTGTAAAGATTTTAGAAGATAGGGGCTGTTTAGTAAATCCAGACTTATTATGAAAGAAATTTATGGATTCAGGGTTTAAATGGTAAATATTGGCCTTGCTTTGAAAGAAAATGTGAAGGGAGGGACTGTTATTGTCAATATGGAAAACATTTAGATGGAGCGGGTATTTAAGGGTTCAAAACCCTAACCCTAGGAAAGGGAAGTCAGCCGACAACACCACCTTATATCCCCTCCACCCGATCTCTGCCTCCAGCTTCCTTATCGCCACCTTGCGCCACCGAATCACCAAGGAAACACCACCTCGGTTGGGTCCCAAACCACCAGAGCAACCAGCTATCGCTCACCCTAACGCCGGGGAAATGAAGTCGCGAGCCCGCTGCCGCCGCCCATTCGCCATCAGACGTCGTGACGCCGCTGTTACGCTGAGTATTGCTGCCGTCGCAGCTCCGCTACCGGAAACGACATGTTCGGCTGGGTTGGCCGCCAAGATCGACGGCAGAGTGAGCATTGTTGCTGCGAGAGTCGGGAGCGATCGGAAAATGCTGGTAAGCCCATCTCCCACCTTCCCCTCTTCTCTCCTTCGCTATTCTCGGCGTTTTGGCACCGTATACATCGGTTTCTGCCGCTGGTAGCCCTTTAGTCGCTGTTTTGGCCGCTGCCGCCATTGGTCGTCGTTTCTGCGACATTCCGGCGATGTCCTGCCACCTTGTGGGTGGCCGAATGAGTGAGTGTTCGCCTTTAGGGGTTGTTCCTGAAGCTAATACTAAAGCATATACATTTTGTAGGCAGGAATCAAGAGACCACCGCCACCACCGTGAGGTGGTGGCTGCCATCTCAAATCCGCTAATGTCGCCGCCAAGAGCCACCAGGTGGGTGGCTGGAATGTCTAGTGCAACATGAAGTGTGTGAATGTGTGTTTGGTGTAGCTGGAAGACCGAGAACCGCCACTACCACCACTATAAGGTGGTGGCTGCCGCCACCAGCTGCCGTGTCGGGTGGCGGTGTGCTTAGTTGTGTTGGGATTGCTTGTTGGATGTTTGGACAATGGACTAAAACCCTAATGGGCCTATGAAACCCTAATGGGCCCAGTGAAGCCCTAATGGACCCAAAAGCCCAAACATGTGACTAATGGGTGTAATAAACGCTAATTGACCTAAGGAAAACCCTAATGGGTTTAAAGACTTGTTTTTGGGCCTATTGGAATGGAATTGGACTTATCGGGACCCACATTTGGGCTTGGACTTATCGGGACCCACATTTGGTCCATTAGAACGAAATTGTATATTAAGCCCAATCACACCATGAGCTATTTAGAAGAGTGATGGACTTAATGGATTAAGTCCTTAATGGGTTAAGTGAGAAACACTTAACCCAAACGTCATTTTATGAGAAACCCTAATTTCACTTGGTTTTATTGTTGGGCCTTTCTATTGTGCCTTGATGATTGGATTTATTAATGGGCCATCCAAGATCAAGCAAATGGACTAGAATAATTAATGGGCTTTGAAGTAAGGACCATATGAGGAGTTGGGCCCAATTTAGAAAATTGGGCCATAGATGAGTCATAGTTTGGGCCTTTATGATTATGTGATATTGGGCCATTAGAATGTTGAATGTTGGACTGCACTAAATGGTTTGGGCCTTATGGTAAGACCTTGTAAAGGTTTGGGCCTAATTTAGAAAATTAGGCCATATGTTGGGCTTTGACTCATAGTTGACTGTTGGGCCTTTGGATTGGGCCTTGGGCTTGAATAAAGCTAAGTTAGGGGTAAAGTATTATTTACCCCCTCCCCCCCCCCAAGTATGTATTTATGGTTATGTGTTGGGACCCAATTATTAATTGGGTGATGTTTTAACATTGACAGTTCGAGAATCTGTCATCCAGCAGCTGGGGATTATGTCTACGGGACTTCAGCAGTGTGAGGTGAGTTACCTTCCAGTAGAAGTGGGTCTACGGCCACAATGCCGACCCACTAGAAGGAGTTGCTTGATAGATAATTGTCTTTGTGATAATTATCTGTTATGTCGTTATCTATTATGTTTGTGTGCTAGGATGCTTTGTGATACATATTAGTAGTAGTAGGGGTGAAATAGTCCCCGGATAGCAGTTGAGAGATACCGCAGGGGTCGTCAGAACCCATGTATGCCTAGCATTATGTTTATGATATGTTATATGTGATAGTGGTAGTAAGAGGGGAAATAGTCCCCAAGTTCGGTTGTTAGGACCGAAGGGTAGGTCGGGCACCCCAGATATGCCTGACAGTATGATTATGATATACTATTGTGTGGTAGTGGTAGGGGGTGAAATAGTCCCCGCTGTCGGTTGAGATAGACCGGAGGGTAGGTCGGCACCCCAGAATGGCCTGACATGGGTATGTCAGCACCCCAGAATGGCTTGACATGGGTAGGTCAGCACCCCAGAACGGCTTGACATGGGTAGGTCGAGCACCCCAGAATTGCCCGGCAGCATGTATGTTGTGTGGTATGTGGTATGATGAGGGAACTCACTAAGCTTTGTGCTTATGGTTTTCAGTTTTGGTTTTAGGTACTTCGTTTTCAAATGAAAGGAGCCGACTCGATCGCAGCGCATCACACTATGTTTTCCGCACATTAGATCCTTGGGATTACACTCTGATATGGTTTTATGATACTATGTTTTGGATTATTGACACTTGGGTTTTGACATGAGACATTATTATGAATGTTTTTGTACTGATGGTTTTATGTAATAACATAATTAAAACGAAATTGTGGCCTGTATTTTTGGGATGTTACAGTTGTATCATTATTTTACGTAATTATTGTTCCTTATAGTTTAAACCAAATGTTATATGGCTTCATTATTTGAACGGTATATAGTAAATACAAAAAGAAATTGTTGAAAATGAAATGGAGTTTTGAACAGAATGTTACAACAAATATAACGAAAATGAACGAGATGTTAGATTCCCCTTCATTTTCTTTGTGTACTACGGATCTTCGTTGTAAATTTAAAAATAGTTATATAATAGGTCCCTGCAATTTAGATAACATGCTAAATTTTTTTATTTATAACTTTTATGTATTCACCTTTTGCATTAAATCATGTAACATGTTTGGTTAATCCGAATTTAATCAAACACTGATCATGTACTCTATAACCTATTTTTTTTTTATCAAAATTTGAAATGGAATGCAAAAGTCTCATAACATATTATAATGAATTGTATTGTTATGATGTTATCGTATATGTACTTGTTAATTGTATGGAATATTTTGTTACCCAATTTTTTTATTAAAGCAACCGAAATGAAAAAAAAAATTAAAAAATCAATAAGTGACACTTAAGTAATTTTCGGGTATACCCGAAAATACTCGACCCGACCTAAAAGCCGAATACCCGAAACCTGAGAACCAATATTGGGTATTATTATTTTAAGAAAATACCCGAACTACCCGACCCGTTTTACCCGAAACCCGAAAATTTTACCCGATCAACACCCTTAGATGCTGCCACTGGACCTTGACCAAAGATACCACCTTGTTGAGCAAGGCCTTCGTCTTCCTATCCAAAATCGCCACTGGTCTCTCGACATACAGGAGATCATCAACCTGAATATCATCCAAAGTAATAACCGCTTAATTGTCAGCCACACACTTCCGAAGTTAGGAAACATGGAAGGTGTTGTGAATCTGACTGAACTCCTTAGGTAGATCCACTCAATAGGGTACCCTGCCAACCCTGGTAATCACCCCGAAATAGACCAATATAACGGGGCCCCAACTTTCCCCTATTCTTGAAGCGTATTACACCCTTCCAGGGTGATACCTTCAATAAAACCATGTCGCCGACCTGTAATTCCAACTCAGATCGACGCCTGTCAGCATAACGTTTCTGCCGACTCTGAGCTGTCTGCAACCTCTGCATGATCTATTGAATAAGTTTTATCATCTAAAGGACTACCTCGGTCCTTACCATAAACCTATGACCGATCTTTCCCTAGCATACTGGGGTGCGACATTTTCTTCCATAAAGAATCTCAAACGGCGGCACACCGATGCTGTTATGATAGCTGTTGTTGTAAGAGAACTTAGGCAAAGGAAGGTAGGTATCCAAACTCCCACCAAAATTTATGACACATGCTCTCAACATATCCTGAAGTGTTTGAATGGTCCTCTCACTCTGGTTGTCGGTCTGCGGATGATAAGCACTGCTAAAATGCAATCTAGTACCCATATCCTCGTGGAACCTCTGCCAAAATCAAGAAGTGAACCGAACATCTCGGTCCAATACAATAGAAACCGGAATACCATATCAAGCGACGATCTCGCGCACATACACATCGTCTGATTTCTCGGCCAAGGAGCTCTCCTGGATAGCTAAGAAGTGGGTACTCTTGTTCAGACGGTCCACTATCACCTAAATCACATCAAACCCATTAGCATTCTGGGGTAACTTGGTGATGAAATCCATGGTGATCTGCTCCCATTTTCACATGGGAACCTCCAAAGGATGAAGCTTGCCATGTGGCCTCTGGTGCTAGGCCTTGACCTTCCGACAGGTCAAAAACCTCTCAACATACCAGACTATCTCCCTCTTCATGCACGACCACCAATAACTAAGTCGCAAATCCCAATACATCTTGGTGGCTCTAGGGCGTATCGAAAATCTAGACTTATGTGCATCCTTCAACACAGTCTGCCTGATCCCACAAAAATATGGTACCCAAACCCGACCGCACCTGGTCAACAATCTACGGATATCGGTGGAAAACTTGTCGATCTCACTCCTCATTAGCTCCTGTTTCCAATTCTCCTTCTTGACTCCCTCGGCCTACGCCTCCCAAATCAATTCCAGCAGTGGCGAATCAATCAAAATCCTTGTTGAATCATAAAAGTGACCCTCTTGAACTTAGCTACCGCAACCACTTCAACTACCGCAACAGTTTAGCACCCGCAGTCAAATCTTGTTCATCAGCAACCGCAACCGGAGTCTACCTACCGCAGTCACTTAGCTAGATTACTTTACTTATCTTTATTGTAATACACTCTATTGTCCAGTATGCCTTGCATGGCTACTCATAGAGATGTAATCTAGTGCTCTTCATGAGACTCTATAAATAAGAGCTCATTCTCTTGTATTCTATACCGATAACTGATGCATTCTATCTGAATACACATTTCTGAAGTTATCTTTTCTATCTCTCTATTACTCATCTCTTTCTACTTCAATCTTACCAGAATTCATCTAAATATAATCTCTCTTCGGAGCAAGTCTTCCGTGACTTAATCACTAAGTTTGATCTTCCTTATTAACTTGGTTTGAATGCATTCCTCGTTATGAATCAACTTATGTGTATACTTGATATAACAATTGTTGTCATTTCTATTTCTTTACTTTTCCGCAACTAACTCTCTAACTATCTAACTATAACTTATTAATATTATTGTTAAGCTTTTAGATCCTTTGAGATTAACTATTCCGCAATCTACTTGTTCTAACATTTGTTCAAGTGTGTCTCTAAGTTTTTCTCTCAACAATTGGTATCAGAGCCATAGTGGTTGCTTTTTGAAAACGGAACTTTGATTTTTCAAAGGGCCTTCTATACCACTGAAGCTCATTTCTCACAAAAATTTTCAATGGCACAATCGTTATCTCTGAACGTTTCCAACAGTGTTGGTGGTTCTAACCGAGCCCCAATACTGGTAGCAAATGAATATCATCACTGGTCACAAAGAATGGAAAGATACTTAAGGAGACTTGGTAGAGATGTATGGAGATCCATAGAAGAAGGACCACATGTCCCAGTCCTTACACCTGTCCAAACCGACGGTGCTACAACCAGACTAGGAGGAGGTCAACCAGTTATGAGCCGTCCCACCAAGGTTGATCTCGATAAAATGGAAAATGATGCTGTTGCTTTTTATGAAATCTCTTGTGGAGTTGCTCCTGACAACTTCGATATTATCATAAATTGCAAATCAGCAAAAGAGATCTGGGAAGTTCTCAAGAATCTGTACGAAGGCTCAGAACAAGCACAAGATAAGAAGCTTACTACCGCACTCAATGAGTTCAACAACTTCAAAGCTCATACCGGCGAAAGTTTGGAAGACTCCTTCAAAAGGTTCAATCTGATAGTCACAAAGTTATTCAATGCGGGCACCATCCGCAGTAACCATGAAACAAACCTTTAGTTTCTTAATGGTTTGGGAAGACATTGGACTACGGCTAAGATGATAGTCCAAGGCGATAGAAAGATTCACTCTTTGTCACTCTACAAGCTCTATGGAGAGCTGCAAGCACAACAATCCACCGTACTCAAAGACTGTGTTAATTTCGGAGGACCACTTGCTCTCATAGCACAAGCTCCACCGCAGTCACCCTATTCTTCATCGTATGACACTCCACCGCAGTCATACGAAGCTGACTCAGAGTATGATGATGAAGAAGAATTTCAGAAGGCTATTGCTCTGGTTAGTCAACAGTTCAACCGTCTACCACCTCCTTCCTTCCGCAAGAACCAACAGTTCAACAAACCTCCATTCAACCGTAACTTCGGTTCCTAGAATAACCATTCTCGATATTCCAAAAATTCTCATCCACCACCGCAATCTCAAATTAATCAACCAAAGGAGGTACCGCAGTCTCCTCAAACCACTGACTCCGGTACTCCTTCAGAAGACAAAAATGATGTTGTAATTTGTCACAAATGCAACAAAGAGAACCACTTTGCAAGAGATTGTAAGGCCAATGTAGTAAAAGACAGAGCATTCTACCTTAGAATGGCTCAAGAGTTGGAAGATAAAGAAAAGGCAAGGGCATACATAGCCCATGTCAAAAGAGACCATCAAGTGTGGTCATCCGGAGATGAAGATGAAGCCATCAGCAGTGTCAAAGAAAAAGGGAAAATCTGCATGCTGGCAACTGCGGATGATGATGAGTCCACAAAGCTGGAAAAGAACTACTGCTACATGGAAAAGGATGGAACTCTAAGCATCGTCGAATAGGTAAAACTCATGATTCAAACTCTAAACTATAGCATGCATGACTGTCACCCATACATAGATGATCTTAATGACACATATGCTGCCGTCCTTACAGACTATAACAAAGCCTTAGATGAGAAGAACATTGCGTCCCAAGAGATGTTCCACGTGAGAGGACGACTGGATAACAAAAGACTCAAAATGGCTATGTTAGAGAAGGACCCAGAGTTAGAAAAAGATGCAAGAATGTTAAGTGAAACCCAATTAGAGATAGCTTTGAATCAGAGAGATTTAGCCCATAGAGAAATTATACGCTTAAATCACTTAATTGAAAAATTGTTTAATGAAAGTGAGGCTATTGAAAATTTGGTAAACAATGGAACCGTAGACAATACATACAATTGGGGTTGGTCAAATGGATATCCTACCGCAATGGATTCCTCACCCCCGGTTCAACAAAGACAGACTGTATGTCCCTCCAGACCGAGAATTTCATTTCCCAGTCAATGACAAAACTTTTACCGAAGACATCAAAACTCACTTCGGTAGACTACATAGTCTAAGCAATAATTGTGTCATTGAGGAAATTGTGCCTGAGGTTTCGGGTCACACATGTGATCTAATCCCTATTTGTGGCACCATTTACCTAAATTCTCAAACATCATCCGTAGTTGATGAAGAAATTGTCCTTGAGGGCCCGAAGTCTCAAAAGACTTTCCACCTCTGTCCTCAGACCGCAGTGAATCACACCGTAGTCAAAAGTCACACAAAAGTCCCACTGCAGTCTCAACT